AAGAGGCAGTATCCAACACCAATTGTAGATCGATCCAATGTTGCGCCATGGTTCTAGACCATCACGCTGAGTGTAAACTATCTCCCTGTAACACACTCAGCTGCCGAGAACTACAGATAAGCTCCCCATAAACACGTTTCAACCGAAACATCCGCTCAACCGATGCAGGAGATAATTCATGCTAGAGGAAATATCTGATGCCGCTACGTGGTCTGTAGATGCAGTCCACAAGTGTATGTGTATGACACGCACGCTGATTCGAAGCAACAGGTTTGTAAACCGCAAATATGAGCCAGTACGTCACACGAAATACCGATGGATACTTGCGTAATATTCCGTTGGCCAGGATTGGTGTGTACTTCAACATTATCTGAATCCGCAGTCTATTCCCTTGTGGTCAGCGCACACTATAGACTGTTTCTGATGTCATAACCTGGTGAGTGGACAAAGTTTGGCGAGTCGTTGCTCAGGGAGCTATCCTGTCGTATGCAACACAGCAGAGGACACACCAGTGTAGGGTACTCCATGCTACATCACGACCGGTAACAGTCATGATCATGGTTGCAGGCCCCAGTAGCCTAATGGTCTTATATAAGGATTCGTAGGGGTGGGTAAACAGGTGGTTGCCTTCCCACCCTCCTCAACAGGAGACATATGGAATGTGACGATTTTTGAGAGGATAAAGCGGCCATCCAACGCTCCTCAAGATGTGTGGTAGTCGTTTGACTGCGTGCAGCTATGATGAATTCAAGCTGCACCTTTTAAACACATTTAAATCATTCCCGGTGCGTTCACCGGTGAGGTGGCTCACTGGAGACACAATCAATCAACAGGAAACACAGATGTGTATCCCTACTTAATACTCTGCTTGTGCAGAATTGCGTGCCGTTTTTTATTTCATGTGTATACTAAAACGTAAAGTTATCCGCCGGAGTAACATAATGTCCAACAGACGCAGTTTCTTTTTGAGAAATAGTACAGCAGTTGTGTACTGCATTGCACACTTTTCTTGAATTAACATAATTATTACCATTACTACGTTAATGAGGTCTACCGCGTTGCGGCGCACAGACTGCAGCTGACAAAGTGAATTGAACCGAGAGAGGAACGATGCTGGTCCATGCCTTGAAGGGTTAACAACACACACCTGAGTGTTCCCAAAATGTAAGGGAATTGGGTGAGAAGTTGGATGACGCTTGTTCAACAACATCACTGGGCTAGCCAAACCGGGAAAAGACAGGGGAGCGTCACAGAAAGGACGTGGGTGCTAAGAGATCATCCACAGAACGCCAACTTAAACGGTATGACTTGGAAATCGCACGCGAGTACCTGAGAGAGATTGACCAATGAGAGATCTACTAGGTTAATGCACGTACACACTCAGCCTACGACAAGAACCACAGGGGCACACTGGCAAATGTAACAATTCAAAGTTAGTCCACAGGGCAGTAAGAAACTGACAGCAATAGGGGAAGCATGGAATAGAAGTAGAAAAAACTGTTAATGATTCGCCGCTTGGGTGAACAAGACTGTTTTGAGCCAAACGATGAGCAAAAAGATGTACTCTAACGCGTACTGAAGAGTCTATAATGCAGTTCTACCAAGAACACTCGCAAGCCAGTTGTTCGTAGCTAATGGAGCGGCTTTTGTATTCCACAACTTAGAACACGGTAAAACTGTATGTAAATGTGAAACCATGCTGAAAGGTGAAATAAACAAGTGTCCCAAAAGCATGTAACCATAAACTTCTATTTGATGGTTCTGCGATTTGATGGCTGGTGGATGCATCGCGAACTGCGAACGAGCACCACATATTAATTAGAATTAAACCAGTCGTGCACTGATGTCCAAGTACCGCATTCGAAACTAAAGCTGCGGTAAGCAAGTTGAGGAAAGTTCGACCGTCTCGATGAGTTTCACGGTTTGTCGGATCAACCAAGCTTATTCTGCAGACTGGAGTTAGTCGAGATGGCCGAGTAGGAAGGAAATACTGTATGAAGTAGCAGTGCTGTAGCGGAACAACCCTGGTGGTAGCAACACTTTTAAGCGGTTCAGCTGTCTTCAAAATTATGTGGCCCAAAGAACAACTGCCTCCAGAAAAGTGTCAACTGACTGCCATAAATAGCCTTGAAAAAGATCAGATGAGTCACATCAAAATGAGTGAAAAAGCAAACGTGAGGAAAATGGGCTTTATGCTGGACACAAATGTCTTACTATGAATGTTATTCGGCACTAATCACTAAGAGTAAAAACTGATTCTGCCCATATGCGGAGCACATCCATGAAAGATTCACTCTTCCACAGCTGGACGGACAGTCACGTGCCCACATAGTTCAATTCAGTCATACGACTGTGACCGGAGTGTGGCGAATTACGTTGTCATATCGTGTGTCCCAATGACACGCAAGAAAAAAGACCAGAAATGGGAAGAAACCAGACGGAAAATCCAGTTAACTACTCCAGGAAAGTGGAAGCGATTTGTGAGAATCTCACTTTAACTCTGCTGCATCAAGTGAAAAATGTTAGGAGGCTATACTGTCGTGAAATTTAAGCTTGGATCGAAAGTATTAAAAATAACTTGGTTCCTGAGTTCACTTGTTCGCCGAGCTTCGGAGTTGGCGAACAAGTGAACTCAGGAACGATCGACCCGAGCTACCCAGTGCATCAAGTTATTTTGAAATGACTTGGTGTTGGCTGTTTTAACTATGGTTGAGATTTAACCGGATAGTTGAGTGCCAAACGCAGAATGTGGAAACAGGGACTTCATTGGGATCCAACATGAGCCCTCACTTACATGTGTGTTGTAACTGCAAAACGAACAACACCGCTGTGATGTCCACCTGACTCTCAGGCATTACTCGAGAGTGCAAAGAAACCGACTAAAGCAGCCATGCATTTGAGAGCGACGAAGACGTTGCCAATGATTGGTAAACAGTTTGGGTCACTTTTATAGCGTTAATCAGTTAAGGGGACGATAATACATCCTATTATCAAGTCCGTAACGAAGCACTGACACGAATGACGATGAGGGTAAGATAGACTGTGACAGCAGGTGTTGGTTGGGAACATCTGCCCACAAATGGTGAAACTATAGGGTGAGTAACGTGAAATGCACCATAGATGCTTGGTGATAAGCCAAATTTTCGTGCACTCCCGAAGGTGAAATTCCGATGTAGCCACCATGGATGTGAATGATTGAATGGCGTAGATGTTTGTTGTCTTGGCCGGATAAAGGTGTTATGTGTGATAGCACAGGCGGGAGAGGTGGCAGGTCTCTCGTATCCGCCGCCACTTACAGATGCTAATTAAGTAAGACGCTACCATAAGCAATCAATCGCTTCGCAAGTGTATCATTGAAACAACGCAGTTTATCAGTTTTCTAAGGAGTGTGAAATGTCGTGAGGAAACTCGTGACAATTGGCGGTCGGATGACAGTTGGAAACCGATGGACACCAATCGACGATCGGTTCTAATACCGATTGGCGTGTTAAGACGAGGAGGTACAAGTGAGATGTTCGCTTTACGGTCATAGCTGCATCAATCAATAGCCGAGTGCAATAGCAGCAAGCCTAAGTGAGAAGAAACTAGGACTCCATCAGACGTTTAGCCGGATGAATTGTTTTATATCATGACACGCAGGTTTAAAGTGCATTCAGGAACCACAAGTGGTTCGGGGTCTCTTTGATCATAGGAAACTGGGCATCGTTTAGATGGTGGTGGTGCTGGTCGCAAAATTCCTATCACTTTGAGAAGTTGTGATCATTTTTATTTGCATTTGTTTACTCTGGTACGATAGCAGGAATTGGTCTGGCATCTGGGCGATAGAGCATGCAGATCAGTAAACTTGCGAGGTTACATACACGTAACTCACGGAGTTGGATAACAATGCAAGGAAAGCTCTTCGATAGTTCGAAATCTATATAGCCCGTTGTGCGGCCGAGCAACACTCCAGATGTGAAACCCAGTTACCAGAATGACTATACGCCGACATTTCTGAAGCAATAGGTAATATCTCCTCAAGTGAGGGAACACAGAAGCTACAAATCCAATCCGGCCATAGTAATATACGAAAGACGCAGTCTAGAAACCCGATCTCAAAAGGACTCGACTCCGATGCACTGCAAACATGAGAGGCCATCAAGGGCATGGAAATTAACACACGAAAACAGCGAAACGTCAAAATCCACGCAGCCACTGCTTTCGTAACAAGTGAACGCTTCCACGAGGATTTCACGCGAATACAGCGGAAATTCCGATAGTAAAGTCGAACTTTGCGGAACTGGGGAACATGATTCCAGTTTTGCTCTTGGTCAAAGAGTTCAGAGAAGAGTGAGTGAAAATCGTACAAGAAGAGTACAGGTTGTTAACAGCGGTTCTTCTTGTTTCGACAACGATGCTTAAGCATTTGAACCTTCAAGATTGTGAAGACAAACATATGCCGAATAGACAAGCATAGATGTACGCGAGTGGAGGACTGACCGATTGCTAGCTTCAGACACGGCTGGTGAGAATCATAGTTTCACCGCGTCAGATTAAGTGAGGCATAAGCAGTACGTCGGTACTCAGTACCGACGCTTCGCTGCCGCGTAATCAACGCAAGTTACACGTAGGCTAAGGATACTGTGACGGTCGCCCGGTCCTTCGGCAGGCTAGAACCCGAGCCGTTAGATTACAAGGCACGCTTGTGATCCTTAGGACTACGGGATGGAATGTCCACAAATAAACACGAATAAGAAACAAAAGGCATCCGTAGTACGCCTGTGTGCTGCACAATACGAATACTCATGAATTATCAATGAGACATCTCATGGTGAAGTTTCGCCTCATTCGCTCAGACAGGTGCAAAACTGTGAACACCAAAATTCAATAGCAAGAGTGGAAACGCTCGACGAATGCAAACTGAGCTATACTGCAGTAGAAGGATAATCGTGTAACAGCACTTTGGAATAACAAGAGAAGAAACAGTGGACAACTACCCAAAGCGAGAAAATCGCACTTACGGCCAATGAGGTGGGGCAGTGTCCAGTCTTTGTGGGGCTTTCCAGTCGCGCCAAAGTGAGTGCAGAAAATAGATCGCCGGTCCCACGGAACTCATAATTCAATCGGGGGACTCGAAACCGCACTTGCTCATACTTGGTTGGGTCTGAAAGAGAGTGAAGGGAATGGAAACAAAAAACCCGGTACGAATCAAGTGCGAGTTTTACGAATAAGATACCCAGTTTTCTATGGACAGCACGTGAAGCTAAACAAACATACTCTATCAGACGGCCACAATAGCCAGTCAGGAGAGGCGGTGTCCACTGTATCGTCCTTCGTGCCGAAGGATGATTAGTACCACCGGATCGAGGAGAGTGGTGGTATCATCTGACATGACCAGTTCGTACCCGATTGGTAAATGTGAGTTAAACAAGGCACCACGAAAAGGTAGCATAGGTTAAGAATATTTCAATGCATTCGAGTAAGGAGCACTGTGGTTGAAAGAAAATGTCAATGGTTACGAAGAAAGAGAGTAAGGAGTAACACATCAGATAAGACAATCAACATAGCGAAGAAATTTCTTTTCGATAATTCTCATCAGGCGAATACATAGATAAAAACAGGTTAAAGGATTGCAATAAGCTACGAAAGCTCGGCTAGGGTTGGTCAATTTCAGATTCTCTTACTACATGGTTACATCAACGACTCGCAATACAGACGGTTGAAACCGACCGGGACTTAGGCACCCAGAATGAGTGGCGCCCCCAAATTACACAAGGCAGGTAACCCACTACGCCCGATTATGTGTATGAACAACTCACCGTAACACAACGTTGCGCGATGGCTAGCGAAAATTTTGGAGCCAGTACGCAAACTCCTGGCCACGTATTGTCTAAAGGACTCCTTTGAATTAGTCGAGACACTGGAACACATGTCGCTTGGTGCGGAGCACATGTGCTAAATAGACATCGACTCCCTATTCACAAACGTGCCTCTACGTGAGACGGTTGAAAATTTGTGTGATTTCATCGCGAGTCAAAACATGTCCATTGGCCTGCCGCTGGAGTATTTGAGGGATATGATCCTTTTATGCACAGAAAATATACGGTTCGAGTTTGAGGGGACTGCTTATAAACAGATCGACGGCGTCGCCATGGGTAGCTCTCTGGGATCAGTATTAGCAGACATCTTTCTCGGCTTGATAGAAAGACAAGTTACTGCCAGCATTGGTGAAGCTACGTTGTACAAGCGGTATGTGGACGACATCCTAGTCTTCCTCGGCAAGGAACATTTTGAGCGGCTGTTGACAGTTCTGAATTAAAGTCCATCCAAATCTATCGGTGTCCCATGAGTTGGAGCAACATGACAGTCTGCCATTTTGGGATATACTCATTAAGAGACGGACGGATGGTACACTACAGCGCACGGTTCATCGCAAGGCAACTTGGAGCGGGCAGTACCTCCACTTTTCCAGCTTTGCTCTGGTCGCATACAAATGTGGCCTAGAGGAAACGCTCTTCTACAGAGCCAGACGGATATGTAGCCCCGAAATGTTGCAAGCTGGAGAAGAATTTTGTACAGAACTTTGGTGTCAAATGGGTATCCTAAGAAATTCATTCAGATCCATAGCACGTCTCCCAAGGAGAAAACACCGGTGTTAAGTGCAGAGAAAAAGAACATTTATTTGTTCTTACCGTTCAAAGGAGACAATGTATCAAATGATATCGGATATAAACTCCGGTCCGCCCTTACGCGCAACTACGTTACCGCTAAGTTGCGACTCATACATACAACGCGAAGCCTCGTTCTTCATGGCGGTCATAGCAACTCATCAGTCAGTTCGGCCTCTCACGTCGTTTACCAGTTCACTTACGGTTGTGTTGACATTTACATAAGCAGGACTGACCGTCAGTTAGCTCAGAAGGCAGCTGAACATGTGCCCAGGTGGTTGGAACAACTGTTGACGCAACAAAGCGGAGTGGATCCGAGAATGAACCGGAGTCCAGCATCATCTATTACCAAGCATGTCTTGGCAACTCAACACCCGGTAAACCTGGAGACTGCTTTCAAGATTTTAGTACAACAACAACAATCCGATAATTTTGGCAATTAGTGAGGTTTTGCTAATTAGGGCTTATCAACCTGTATTGTGTGCACAGAAACTATTGAGACAATCAACTAGGTTACCGTGGTCTTGACTTGGACATTTTGATTGGTGTGCCAACTTTTCCCCCTCTATATAACTGTCCATGAATCCCGCTTGTATTGTGTTTGCGACTGATGAGAACAATCGAAATGTTAACATATCGCAACATATGTCTTCTCACTGCTCTGACAATTTCACATAAGCAGCATTGTTCGTCGATCGGATTATCCTATCCAAATTGATGGTCACACGTAGGCACACACACACATGTACACAAACCAAGATAGTTCGTCCCTCCGATGGGGTGGAAAGAAAATCTGAGTCACCGCCTGTGAATGAAGTGAAGGCGGAAATCACGGCCACGGTAGCAGAAGTACTTGCAATAGCGTCCCCTGCTTGCACAGTTCAGGTTGCATTAGCCTGATCGCAATGGCCTCGGCCGTTCTTAGTAGGCGTTTTCTAAGTCCTATTGTGTAGCGGTTTGACAGGATGTAAAAATCTTTGAAGGCTTCTTTGGTCACAACTTGATGTCCGCTTTGGACTAGATGTTCCGAAATAGAGCTATTGATACTTCTAACCGTGTGTTTCCACAATGCAGCTGGACAATGTTTTGAAATCCTTTTCAACAAGCGTCTGATCGTGTGTCCTAGGTATCTCACACCACATGAGCAAGTAAATTGATATAGGATCAGGGATTCGGACTGGACCGGGAGTTTATCCTTAAGACGCTGGCTAATAAAAGGGTCAGTGTCTGCAATTATGTGCAGGTGGACAGACGGAAATGACTTGGCTAATGCATTTAAGAATCGCCTATTAAGTAACTCGAAGAGGACATCTTTAAAGGTGACTGGTAACTAGACATCCTATTTTGGTACCGACACAGCTATTTCTCGGCGGTCACGGATCACAGAGTGCATCCGAATGAAAGGACAAACTCCCGGTCCAGTCCGAATCCTTGATCATATATCGATTTACTTGTACCTGTGGTGTGAAATACCTAGGACACACGAACAGAGGCTTGGTGAAACGGATTGCAACACATTGTCCAGCAGCATTATGGAAACACACGGTTAGAAGTAGCAATAGTTCTATTTTGGAACATTTAGTTCAAAGCGGGCATCGAGTTGCTGTTGTTAAAGCAAGTGCCCACAAAATCCGAGATATTTTTATGCCAGCCTATCCGGTGGCACACCTCTAACTGTGAACTTCACTCTCACCCACTGTTCTACCGTGGTTCATGTGCACGAGGCCGCCGATTATGCTAAGCGGCCTGTCAGACGCACTCTCTCACCTGTCTTGCTTGTTGCATGTGATTTGACGCTTGGTCAATAAATTGCCCGACGTGCTGACGGCTATACGCCCCCTCCGACTGTGATGAAGATGGCTGATCATTCACGGCTAAACTAACTACTTCAACGACAGCAAGAGAATAGTAACCTGCAGCTAATACAGACATATTTGCTCCAATCACCCACAGAGAAATTGTCATCACTAAATGTAACCCCCACCAAAGCGAAAACTGAGTCCACTTCAGTTGCATCGCAGAGAACGGCAAAACATACGCAACCTGATATAGGCAGAGTAAAGACATCGTTCTGATTGATACGATCATGCTTGAGAATGCGGCCAAAGTACGGTTGTTGCTACTAGAAGCTGGGTGCAAATGAACACAGAGTACTGTAATTTCATTTTACCGAAATAGTCTCGCGACTGCAATTCCCAGGAGACTGTCGATGTCCTCACCCACATTTGGTGAAAGTTCAGCAATACTTAATAACTGTTATCGACGCTTGAAGCCGGTTGAAAAGTAATCCGAGGATTACGTTTCTTACGCAGTGTTGCGGGAACCGCAAGTAATACCTCGAAAAAACAACCTAGTCTAGGACTCCAATACGCAGGCAAAGCAAAAGCCGTACATTTCCAACTCACAACGCAGCAGCCTCCCAGCCAGCCCAACTCAGCGTGCAGCTGTGACAAAATGAACAATAGCTTTTGCGAACCACACCGAGCGAGTGTGGTGACCCATATCTCTCACAAAACAGACCTCTGTGCCAAAGTTGTTCAGTCTTTGTGGAACGCAAAAGAACTCCAGATGATCCGCGACATCTATCGATTCTCGCGTGCGTTCGTAGGGTCTTGCGTGGGTCACGTGAGCGTCAGAAAATATATGCCATTTTACAGGCGTGTTAACGCATTGCACCAAACTTTTAACGTGGCATATTTTCGAAATCGCATGCTGTGTATTCAAGTTCGCGAGCCTAAGAACGCCGTGTTGGTTTTGTTGACACTGTCATTGGTCATGGGACGTTAGCCAATGGGACACCGGTTGGAAGCCCCAAGCATAAGCGACAGACAGTCCAATGAAAGTGGTCAAACACTACTTTCTGTGCTGCCCTGATGCGCGTCTGAAAGAAACCCCGATGATTTCTCTCCAAACTGAAACCGTCCAACGGGCAACTTGTGATGTCTAAGCTAGAGATTTTAGCTACCACATGATCCGAAGCTTATGCTAATGCGAACGGACATGCAAACCATCAGATGAAGCGGTCTATACTTGTTGATCGCTAGCGGCTACCTTTCGGTGGCCTAGTCCAGCGGCCTAACCATTGGTACGATGGTGACGTAGACAGGTATTCTTCTAACTGGTATTCCGCAGTCTCTTAGGTCTGAGGGAGTCAGCCAGGCTTGCATTTGCGGTTGCTCAGGCATGTACCATGGATGGGACACTGCATACCCTAAGCTGAATCAGCAACGGCTGTTGGGCGATTGTTATCGCGACGACTCATTGAAGAAGATAGACCAAACGAAGCTTAACAACGAATGTTCTATGGATGGTTACTTCTAGCACAGTTGATGACAAAACACAAACATTGTTCCAGCTAGGAGGATTCCTAGTGTGGCGGTGACATGACATTAGTGTGTGTGCGTTTGTCTCCACACCACACTCTCCACATGGGCGACTTTGTTAATCAGTTATCACTTCAGCGTCAACAGGTACGATGTTATATAAAGGTGATAGG